CCATTCGCTGCCTCACTAATTATTATTAGATTGGGTTGGATTTTTCGAGAATTGCCCGAATATTACTATATTTTTTTTATGTAGTTGGAATGTTGGCGCTTGCGTGAATAATGGGATTTGGATCGGTGTAAAGACAAAAGTTTTCTTTTTTAACATTGCCGACGTTTCATCTTTTATTTACGTTCTCGCATGATTAAATTAATTAGGCAAAATATGCGACAATTTGATAATCGGGCTTTTTTAGGTTTCAATAACGAGATTTGGAGCGGCGTTCAGCTTGAGATTGAGACAAAATGAAAATTTTCTCAAAATGTCTCCAATTTTACATCATTTTCAGCTCACGGACACGAGGAATGCATCGAACTAATTGAAAAACATGGTAGAAGTTTCAGTTCCTAAATAATAGACATTTTCGGCACATTTTAAGCGTTCGTTTTATGAGCGTTCACGATCTTTAGCCGACGACTTCTTCCTTATTATTGACCCAAACACTTTATAAATGCATATTGGTCACCTTCTTACGTCGAAAGGAATCGATTGAGCGTAAAAAACACGCATGTAAACTTTTGATTTTTTTTTCACGGACACGAAGAAGGCATCGAACTCATTGAAAAACAGGCCAGAAGTTTTAGATCCGAAATAATCGACATTTTGTACTCAAAAATTTGTACTGACCAGTAGTAGTTTTTCCTGTTGACTTTCTTCAAAACTTCTACTTTTCGCACAAAACTCATTAGTGGAAATTTGACGAGGACTTTGATGAAACAATGCAACAGGCAAAGCGCTCGAAATGGTCCAATTTGAGTACATCGCCTGGGAACTTAATACATAAATGGATCGAGTTAAATGTATGGATTAGGAACTTTCAATGCTCCATTGTCGCAATGGTCATTAGTTAATTAAAATTCATATTATTCGGGTTTCAGTTTGATTTAAATGCACGAATTTAATGTGGCTCATTGAATGCATTTGCGAGGGAATTTCGATTTTTTCACAATGATGCCATTGAATGCACATTATATTGGCCAAAAAAGCTTTATGATAGAATTGCATCGCAACTACGGTTTTCCACTTTTTTTATCAGCAAAAATTGTCAACTTAGCAACAAAAATGCGAAATAATTAACTTAGGAAGTTGATTTAACTTTTTCCAGTCGAGACCGTTTTCACATGATGCATGGCTTTATTAGACGCTGGTAATTATCTAAAGTTCTCCAGAGCGCTCCATTTGACATTTTCATCAACTTTGCTAATTTTAGTTTGTTTTTTCGCAAAGACATCGAGCACAAAGCGTTCGCTACTTACTTATTTGCGCAAAACAACATGAAAACGTGCCAAATCCACACTAACGCAGCATTAAAGCGCCCTTTCTGGCCCAAAAAACCTCTATGTATAGAGTTGTTTTTGATTGGTTTTTTTGCAGCAGTTCCATTATTCTTTTCAGGCACTTAAATTCAAAATAGTTCAATAAACGAAAAGCTAGCACAGATCGAATTTATAAGGCTATTTATTCATAACAACTGGCTGGCTTTTAGAGAACTCCAACATGCATTAACGGCCCACAGTTTAAATTGCCGCCTTTTGATAATGATTTTATGCAAATTCCATTAGTTCCTTTTTGGGTGAATAAAGTTCAGTCAACTTGGAGTTTTATTAACTTTTCAATGTCGAATATGGTGCCTATTTAGCCAAACATTTTTGCAACAGCAGATTTGCCAATAGATTTTGAAGAGCGATTTTCTCGCTTAAAATCAGCTGCAATTATGTTTAAAAGGAGAAATCGAGTTTCCCAAAAGTTCACACCTGTGGAAAACTTTCACCCCATTCGAGAAACTTTAAATGCGAACATTAAATTTGACGAAGACCGAAAACCACTGTGGAACACCGAAAGCTAATTGAATTTTGATGAGTTCCTGTGTCTTTGGGAAAAGTTTCACGTGTCGATGCCTGTTATAGTCAAAGAAACTTAATAGAAAATTGAACTCGACTGCATTAGAATTAACGATAGCATTTGGGCATAGAGGCAATAATCCGGAAGCCTTTCGTGACTCCGATATTTATCCAACAAAGTCCTTCAAGCCCCATTTATTTTATGAACTGATTACTGCGAAAGTTTCCAACAAGTTCAGGCTGGCTCAGTCCTAACTATTGACCAAAGTTGTTTCTTTAGACTGTGGACTGTTATGACTTGCAGTCTGCTATTGACGATTTTTTCCATACTGAATTGAACTTTCCTCAAGCCTCTACTTGTAAATCACTTGGTTTGTTCTATTTCATTGAAAAAAACCGTTTCTAAGCTGTTTGTGTCCTTTAATTAATTGTTTTCGTGTTTAACTTGCTCACAAGAATATAAGTGAAGAAAGTGTGCTTTTTTCGTGGACATTATCTATTGAAGAATTTACTGGTGATTTTTTTGTGTTTTTCGTAATTTTTCCTGGCGTTTCGCATTCCGAATGTTTTATCAAGAATACATTTTTTGCTGGACGCGCTTGCTTTGGAGGAAAAATTTAATTGCCAAATTTGGAATCCAAATTCACAGTTTCATGCACCAGCATATGAAAAATGTACATTTAATAAAACGTCAATTTGTTTGATCGATAGGAGAAAAAAGGCGAAGTTTTCACATGGTCTCATGAGAGAAAACTTGACACCAAAAATATTGCAATCGCCATTTCAAAATAACAAAATAACAAAAAATCCATTTGCCATCCAATCAACATCCTACTGGCACTAAGTCATGGATAATTAATCAGGCAATAAAATTATATTTAGAAAATTAATACACAGCGGCAAAATTGAAGTAAACATCGTCAGTTTAGTACAATATATCAATTATCCATACAAAAATTAAATAGTAGTTTTCGATACAAGGGCGAAAAATGTCGTTTTTCGAACGACGACGGCGTTTGACACCCGAGACGAAGTCGAGGGTGTCAATCCGTC